ATGCTGCTGCACGACTTTTGACAGGAACTCAGAAGAGGGAACATGTGACCCCTGTCCTGGCCTCACTTCACTGGCTGCCTGTATATTTTAGGATTCATTTTAMAATTCTTATGTTTGTTTTTAAATCACTGCATAATCTTGCCCCRGCTTACCTCTCTGAGCTTCTTCATCCCTATGTACCTTATCGGTCTCTCAGGTCAGATCAGCTGCTCTTGGAGGTACCGAGAACAAAAAGGAAGCTCAGAGGGGACAGGGCTTTCTCTGTCATCGGCCCTAAATTATGGAATGACTTGCCTTTGCAGGTCAGAGAGGCCCCTTCACTGTCCACTTTTAAAGCTCGTCTTAAAACCCATCTGTTTTACTTGGCTTTCAACACCAGTGGGATTTAGTTTTAAATTGTATGTTTTTGTTTTAAACCATTTTAGTCATTTTTTTATTATGTTGTGTTTTAATGTACAGCACTTTGTATCAGCTGTGGTTGTTTTAAAGTCCTTTATAAATGAAGCTGGTATGGTATTATTTGGCCATCATGTTAATTTGCAACTTTTTGCGGACTGAAAGCTCATTGCACTGGTTTTTCAGAACAATTCTAATCCTTTGTTTTATTTTCAGCTACAGTATTTACTGCCATTAAACGAAGACAGTTGGCAACCTAAAAGATGCCTAAAATAGTTTGCAATATCCTAGGTCAGAGAAACTCAAACTTTTTGGGTCTGGGACCCCTTACAAGGCCAAAACAATTCCAGGGGCCCTCTCATAAACTCCATGCTGTTTTAAAAGATAATTTACTGTCATTTCAACCCCTAAATGCCATGGGAATTTATATATATTATTTAGTTTGTTATGTTTGATTTATTAGTTCATTGTTATTCATGCATTTTTAAAAATAAAAATCTAATTGACATTTCAACTCCTAAATGCCATGGGAATTTATATTTTTTATTTAGTTTGTTATGTTTGATTTATTAGTTCATTGTTATTCATGCATTTTTAAAAATAAAAATCTAATTGACAATTTAGTGACATTTTTTGAGGGCCCCCAAGATAACTCTCGCGGACCCCTGGGGGTCCTGGGACCCCACTTTGAGAACCTCTGGTTTAGAT